TCAGAAGAGAAGGTCTCAGTTACAGAGTTGCAAGCCCAGCTGGTATCAGATCTATCACTCACACTGTTTGCAGAACCAGGACATCTGAATGTTTTCACTGCGATGTGCCAAGGATTTTCTGCTCTGCATTCCCCGAAACAGGTGAGGAGTTTTCTAGACATTCATGGCATTATGAATTTAATTTTCCATCCTTCTGTGTTACAGAAGCACTAAACTGCATTTTGAGGGTGCATACATGTCCTTCCATGGCTTACTTAAGATCAAGTTAGACTTGATAGAAATGTCCTGTTGTAATTTTCTTCAAATATGGAATGTGTCTTCAAATATGGAATGTATCATGTGTCTTGTTCTTGCCAAGATTTGCAAAATCTTTTATTTGGGTATCGTGACAGAGGATCAATGTATGGTGAGTTTTCTTGCCATGATGTGTAGTAGTCAAATCTTAGAAATTTGGTAAAGGGGAAGCTGCTTCATCGAGTTGGGTAGCATGATTTATATCTGTTACCAATGTGGATAATGATGCCTTTGTTTGCCCAACCCACCATTACCATTTTAAGGCAACTTGAGATCCCAGTTTTCTTTCTTTTTCTGCAGGAAGCAGTTCTGAGCATTTGGTTGGTATTCAGTGATCACACCTTGGCTCCAATAGAGCTTTATGGCTGGCGGGATGCATCTCTCTTGCTTTCTTCTTTGAATCCTGAAGTAATATCTGTGCGGCTGGAAGAGGAACAGGCTTACCCAATGATTGTTGCAGAAGGGCCAGGCCAGGGGTCCCTCCTGCAGCTCAGCCTACATTCCCCAGACTCTTGCCGCAAGGGGAAACATAAGGCTCCCCTTTCCCAGGGGACAGCGTGGCTGGAAGTGAACTTTGGCTGGCACCTCTTGACCACTAAGAGCCCACAGCAAGAAGATCTCCATCGGCATGGTAAGGCTCCCTTTCAGCGAGCAGAAGGTGCCATGTCAGGTGAAGCAGTGACTGTTGCGGCTATCACAGAGAATGGCAGAGGTTCAAGGAGGCGTGGCCCAGTAGCACGAGGGCCACCGATGAGCAAATTTGAGGGAGCTGGAATTAGCTCCTATGAGGATATTGAACAAGTGGAAGAAGTAGAGGAAGATGAGATGGTGAAAGCACCTTCAAGGGTGACAGATCTAGAGATTGGAATGTATGTCCTCCTGGGAGTGTTCTGTCTTGCCATCTTTATCTTCCTCGTCAACTGTGTGGTCTTTGTCCTTCGTTATCAGCGCAAGGAGCCTCCTGATGCTGGATCAGGTCCAGCTTCTTCTGCCCAGCAGCCTCACAATTGGGTCTGGCTAGGCACAGATCAGGAGGATCTTAGTCGGCAGCTGGATCTGTGCAAGCAACACTGCAAAGACCAGCCTCGGGGCCCATCTAGCACCACCAATGATGGGTACTCTTGCTGTGCAGGGCCAGATGGAACTTTGGAAGCTTTGGCTCCAGAGGCCCCAGCTCCATTACCAGAGCCAGAAACCGGGGTCTCTGTTAGTAATTTGGGCCTGACTGCACCAGGGAACCCAGCGCTTACCAGCACCTTGTCCAGGAAGAAAGAGGGCAGGGATGTAGGGGGTCGGCGGAAGCGTGTAGAATTTGTGACCTTTGCTTCCCCGTCCAACTCCGCACCCAGCCCCCCTGCTTCTGGACCAGTAGTTCAGTCCATTCTGGTAGCCAGCGAAGATGACATTCGTTGGGTGTGTGAGGACATGGGGCTGCGTGACCCAGATGAGCTACGCAGCTACATGGAAAGGATTCGAGGTAGCTCCTGATCTGCCCTAGCCCATTCCGGTGGGCAAACCAATGGTCACCCCCTTAGGTGCTCTCCTAGGATCAGTCAGCTGAACTCTCTACCTGCTTCTTTTTAAATAAGGGCTCTCCACAACAGGACACCAGCCTTGTGTTTGTGAGGAGAAAAAGAGCCAGAGATATTTCTGCTGCTCTTTGTGTTACAGACACAGTTCCTTAGCTGCGCTATCCTTTTCATTCTGGTTAAAGGCATTCTCTCCACCTATTCTTCTCTCAGCAGAACTAGCCCATTTCTCCTGGGAAGAGAGCCCATGTGTGCTCATTGCTTCTCCCCCTACCCCCTTAGGAGGTGTGGAAGTGGAGTTTGGAGACTGGAATGTAGCTGCAGGTGAGAGATAGGCTGGCTGCGATGTACTGTGAAGGTGACCTAGGGGGCTGATCCAAGACCTCACATATTACGTTGACCCTCATTGCCAGTGTGTGTCCATTGTGATGGTATGAACAACGAGTGTCTTTCCGTCCTTCCTGTGGTCTGAGCCTGGGGCTCTGCCCCTATCTCCCCCCCCCTCCCAGTTCCCTGATCCCTCCCCTAAAGGCGGGCAAGGACAGAGCTCCAGGGAGCACTGGCTGGGCCTTTTCCACCCTGGTTGTGTGCCTGATGTCCTTAAGAGTTTTGTACAGTCGCTCATATTTTATACCGTACAATTGGGAGGCTGCCAGGCAAGTCCTTTATTTATGGAAGATTTTTAATTCTTACATTGTTAAAAAAAAAGTAAAATAAATAATAACTAAAAATGAAAGGTGTGTCATTTTTTGTGCAGTCTGGTTTATTTGTGTTTCCTTGGTAATAGAGAAGTAGTCATCTATGCAAGTCCAGACACCTGACAGTTCCTTTCATTCCAAATATTTGTTGCCTTGATCCTAGCCTAAGGCCAGTGTATCATCACTGCTGCGATGCAGGAGATCCTCTGAATAACTTTCAGCATGATTTTAGTTAAACTTTCTTTACGAGAAGGTAGTTTAAACTACAAATATGGGTAATTCTGGACTCAGAACCATTCATTTAGCTACCCTTCAATGTACAGGTAGTCCTCAATTTACAACGGTTCACTTAATGACCATTTGAAATTACAATGGCACTGAAAAAAAGTGACAGGATTGTTTTTCACACTTGTGACTATTGCAGCATCCCCAAAGTCATGTTCAGATGCTTGACAACTGACTCGCATTTATGACGGTTGCAATGTCCTGGGGTCATGTGGATCCCCTTTTGTAACCTTCGGACAAGCAAAGTCAATGGGGAAACTAGATTCACTTAATAACTGTATTACTAACAACTGCAGTGATTCCATTAACGAATGTGGCAAGGAAAGTCATAAAATGGGGGAGACTCACTTAACAAATTTTTCACTTAGCAACATAAATTTTGGGCTCAATTGTGGTCATAAGTTGAGGACTACTTGAGCATTGAAACAAGTGATTTATGACGGGTTCTCACACTCACGACACTTGTACCCAGGCTCACTCGATCAAAATTTGAGTACTTGGCAACCAGCATGTATTGATGATGGTTGCACTTTCCCGAGGTCATGTGATCACTTGCAAACTTCCCAGCCAGCTTCTGACAAGCCAAAGCCAATGGAGAAAGCCAGATTTGCTAATTGGGTGTGACTCATTTAACGACCACCTTGCTTAGCAATAGAAATTCTGGTACTGATTCCGACTGTAAATCGAGGACTACCTATAGTATAAAATCAGTTCCTAACAAAGAACTCTCTGGATCAGCGCTTCTCAACCTTAGCTACTTTTAAGATGTATCCCCAAGTGGGGATTGCCAGGGAATTCTGGAAATTGAAGTCCATGCATCTTAAAATGGTCAAGGTTGAGAAACACTGCTCTATCTAGTTATTTACTAATCTTAGCAACTAGGAGGCAGCTTATAGAAAAGGAAAACACAGGAATGGATTTATGACACACAGTAACAGGCACTGCTAGGCGGTGGGGAATGAGAATTGCTAAACCAATATCATGCAGGGTGTAGCATCTAATGAAACAATAGTGCTCAATAAAATTGAGGGCAATAACATATTGGATGATACAACTGGAGTATAAATCACACAACTGATGTATGTTTGGTTGCTGCTTCCCTAGGCTTACTAGCAGCTACACCGGTTCCACTTCTCCAAGTGCAATGGGGACTTCCAGGTTCACTATTCGGTCCTTGTACTTTTCTAATGTGTATAGGCAAGAAAGCTTTTGGAGATGTTGATTTTTATATCCTGCCATGTTGTATCTGCTAAAATGTTTCTCTTCTATATAACAGTTTCTAGACTTCTTACATCCTAAAAATGGTCAGCTCTGAGCAAATCTTCCACAGCTGCCTTAACCAACTTTCTCCTTCCTAGGGTCTCCTCAAATAAAGTAGTAAACTAAAGATCATTAATTCCTTTTTTTTCAGATTAAATTTCATGTTTCTGCTAAAATAGCTTTACTTCTCATCAGTGCTATATGCCTGGTTATGTCTAGGATTATACAAGTGTGGAGAGTACACAGGATGGTCTTGAAAGACAGAAGAAAGATCTGTTACCAAGGCAACAATCAGACAAATGTGGCTTGAATCCAGGCCAAAAAAGAGATTTACAAAAGCACCTCAGACAATTCTCCCATTCCCCTCTCTCTTCACATGAAAATAGAAGAGGGAGGCACAAGATTTAGTTATTGTAGCTATTTTAATAAAAGTAGATTTAGGCCTCATTTGGTATCTGTTTTTAATCTGGTCTACTTTATGAGGCTAACAACTGGTGAACTGCCAAGTATGAAATTTTATAGAGTTAACACTAATTTGAATTTTAAACATTCAAGAGCAAATTGAAAGCTTGGGAAGCTGAATCTGAAATGAGCAACCCCAATAGAGTAGGTTTAATGTTCCAGTCCAAATCAAAAATTTAAAAGTATTTTCTTTCTCTATCCCTCCCTCTCTCTCCCCCTTCCTCCCTTTCTTCCTCCCTCTCTCACTCTCCTTCTTCTCTCTCTCCTCTCCCCCACTTCGTTCCTTGCCCCCCTCTCTCCCCTTCTTCCTTGCCCCCTCTCTTCCTTCCTTCCTTTCTTTTTTTAAATCCTCCATTTCCCTCACTTTTATATTGATTTTAAGTAACTATGGTATCTCTTTGGATCTGCACATGCTGGATATTTTTCATACCAATTACTTGGGGGAAATATCTTTTTCAATTTTGTCTCTCAGATTTTGCAAGAATACCTGTAATTTCCATTCTTGCCATCCAGAAAGGGATAATGGATTTCATATCAATTTCAAACTATTTCCTGAAAGGTTTTTTTTAAAAAAATGTTTAAGATTTTGTACATGAATGCAGAAATGCATTTGTCCAAAATTAAAGCTACATATGTTAAGTCACCATATACCATACAGTCACATAACTGTAGCTCCCATTATAAATGTCCATATGCATAATATAATGTATAATATGATATTTCTGTATTCTTCAGTATTATCCAACAATATTTGGAAGCAAAGATTTGCATGTCCACAGATAAAGGACAATACATTATTTATTTAAAGAAATAAATGCGACTGGTAATATGCATTTTTAAGACTTGGGTAGGTTGCTGAAAAGGAAACTTCTGGTATCTTCCTATTACTTTACAAGCTATAAATACAAGGTTTTATTCCATAATTGTGATCCCCATGAAATCTACATTTGGAACACTGATATTTGGCTGGAAAGTATCAGAAGCTTCTGATGACTTTCAGATCTCCAAATTACGTGAATGTCTATGTACAGGTACATACAATAATTTTGTCTCCCCAAAAAATGGTTCAGCTCAAAGGAGATGGTAAGATGGTAAGTACTAAGAGGGGCAAGAACCATTTAGATGGATCAAGACATGATCCGTTTAACTTACATTCAGTAGTTAATATCTTAGCGTCAATCTTCCCATAACTCCACTGTTCATATTGAGTTTCTGGAAAACATTAACACCTCAAATAAGAACTATATTTCTTAGTACCCTGATTAGCTGCTGTTGTTGGTAATCTGGATTACTTTCATTAATTTCATTCATTACAATTTTCATTAATACAGCCTTCACAACATTTGAATTGGTTAACTTTCTGCAACAGCCATAGCATTGAACCTCATGATGAAAAGCATGTGTGCCTTCTTGCAGTCCTGAAAAATGTGATCACAATTGTTCTCTCAGCTGGTGGGTCGCTGTTGACGCTCATAGCGGACGGAGATGAACATAAAGAGGATGCATGTTATCGCCTGAATCCCACCTAGGAGGAAGAAATAATAATCCATCCGACATTTGTTGATGTTTCCTAGACAAGAAAGAGAGAGCAAGAGAATCTTTAGTATACAGCTGCAGAAGGATGTCTTCTTGCATTCTGCAGCCTTCACAGGTCCACAAATCCTTTGCATAGAACAGTCTTTTGACAACATGTTTTTAAATAATTTTCTCTAGGTCTCCTTCAGTCTACCTGCCTTGACCTTAAGATATTTGGCTTTGCTGGAGAACAGTGAAAACTCTTTGAATGGCTTCTCCATTTTCCTTAGTGGAGGGAGGGACTAAAGGGTATGACAGATGCTCACCAAAATCTTCTGGGCAGTGCATCCAACCATTGGTTGGCAGGGAGAGTAAACTCAGGAGGCCAGATCCTAAAAGAGATCCAACTCCAGAAATGAAGAAGAAAAGACCCATGATTGCTCCTTGCATGCTTCTGGGAGCTTCAGAATAGGCAAATTCCAGCCCTGGAAAAACAGAAAGAATTCAAAGGATTAGGAACCTAGAGGAGCACATTGAAAGTAGGTTTGAAGGATAGTTCAAGGCTCCTGAGGTCATGATGAGAATATTGTGCTTTTTCATCTTTGATGTGCAACTAGCTGCACTACATTCGGATCAGGAAATTCTGGTTTAATGCTGATATAGGAACAATAGGGTTAATAAAGCCTTGTTCTCTGGCTTACCCGGAATGCTGGCAAAGATTTCACTGATTCCAATGAGTAAATATTGAGGGATTTGCCAGAAAATGGAGAGTGGGGCTGCAGAGTATTCATCTTTCCCAATTCGTTGCGTGATTGTCTGGTTGTTGTTCACATATTGCAGCCGCTTAGTTTCCAGGAAACCTAGATAGGAGAAAAGCATTTGGACCCAGAATAAGGATACTGTGAAGAGCATTCTCATAGATGAGACAGATTTTTAAAAATCAGAAAATAGGTGTCATATCTTTGTTATGTTAGGTATAAAATATTTACTATAGGTATAAAAATACTTACTAGACAACCCATGTCCCATTGGATTTTTTTTTCAGAGATATTTCTTTACCCTAAACAGAAATACGATGAACAAGAGTGGACAAAAAGCAGGCGCATCTTCTGACATCCTGTTAGCTTGCTTCCCCTTTTGAGTTTCCATGTGCTAATCTGGCAGGGAGCATTGGAAATCTCCCTTCCCTCCCTTTTCCTTTCCTTCTTCACAGGCAGATAAGTAACTACTGATGGGTGTGGGAGGGAGGAAGGGATTGTGAGACTTGCTGGAAAACTATTAATAGAACTTTGAAAATGAAGATCATGTGACCTCAGAAGTAGCCCAGCAGTGTATCAGCAGCCAGCAACACTAAAGCAGTCACAACTTCCCCAAATTCCATCAGTAG